ATAGAATAGCAGGAACATTTAAATAGATTTGATTCTTTATCGGATCATAAAAACCCACTTTACGAAGATCTCTTCCCTCTCGTCGGGATCGAACATCAATTGCAACGATTCGATAAATGGCTCATTGGGATAGATGAACAATACCCCCCCCCCCTAGAAACGTATAAGAAGTTTTCTCCTCGTACGGCTCAAGAAAATTATAAATTATGTCTATAGTATAGAATTATAACATCAAACATATCCATAAAATAAATAAATTAATTAAATTATTGATTTTAAGTACTTTTTTCTTATTCTTCCCCAAAAAAAAAAAAAAAAAAAAAAAAAAAAATTTTACACCTCATAACCCTCAAGTTGAATAACTCTCAAATAACTCAAAAGAAACCTTTTAGGTATTTCATTTATTGAGTGGTCTCTAACCCCTTTTGTCTGTCTACTTTAAGAATCTATTTTGATTCTTCATTCTGATCTAGTTGTTGAGACAATTGAAAAATGGTATTTCCTTGTTCCAGGATCTTTATCTTTGCCTTGAATCATTGGGTTTAGACATTACTTCGGTGATCTTTAAATCGTTTCAAAATGGCAGCAACATACCGTTTTTTGTGATTTCTTTCTATCAAAGAATCATATGAATGGTTGATTCCTACGTAATACACTTTACTTTTGATTTGATTTGATCGAAAGAGTTTTACCAATTCTAACATTAATTTAAAATTAAATCGAATTGGATCCTTTAGATTTATATATCGAAAATATACTTACGAAGTTGTTCCAATTTATTGATCGATACTAACCTTAGATTCTTGCCCTTGAGAAATTAATCAATACTTTCTACTCGAGCTCCATCGTGTACTATTTACATCACAACACTCCAAAAGCGGGGGTTCCAGTAGAACAGAACAAACGATGTCGAGCCAAGAGCACTTTCATTCCTATATAATATAAAAATGGTGGATGTAAGAATCCACAGCGGATCATGTCCTTCAAGTCGCACGTTGCTTTCTACCACATCGTTTTAAACGAAGTTTTACCATAACATTCCTTCAGTTTGGAACCAGTATGTAATTGATTCAATTATGGAATCATGAATAATCATCGGTTCGGCACGAATAAACAAGTTATTTTTAATCTCTATCTTCAAGTAACATGATAGGATAAATTCAACAATTTAACACTTCTTCGAGTACCAAGAACCCATAAGAAATCATTAAAAAGATTTAATTGATTGAATAATTTCCTACCCGATATCATTATTTGCATTTTGCATAAGGTTTTACAGTAAGGACCATTCACTTTTTATCATCATAAGAGAGAGAAAAATCTATATTGGATTAACCCATCAACGATAAAAAAAGATAGATAAAAAAGACTTATGTAAGAAAAGATTTAAGGTTTAGGTTGTTATTTTTTCATAGTGTAAAATCAGTATAACAAGTCACAAACAGATTAAATTTCGTATGCGTGTTATTTGAACTAGATTAAATTTATGAAAAAGATATGATTCAGATTTCAAAAAAAAAAAAAAAAAAAGAAACAAGAATCACATTCTATACCAATATTATACCCTTAAACGGAAGACTGTTCGAAAAGACAATCTTTAATTTTTATATATTTTATTATGATATAGATATATATATTATATTTTATTATATATTAATAATATTATAATATTATTATGGGTCAGGTATGCTCTGGGACGGAAGGATTCGAACCTCCGAATAGCGGGACCAAAACCCGTTGCCTTACCACTTGGCCACGCCCCCATTTCTAGTCGACACTAATAAACACTAATATTGGTACTGGTTGTTCGTCAACTCCAGTCTAAATATCTATTATCTATAAAATAAATTACTACAATTTTTATACATGTAGACATAGAATTAAACTGAATTATTGATCATTACATAATTCAATTAAGATATTGTATGAAAGTATGATTTATTCTATTCTCTTTTGATTTGAGAATTGAAGGATTGTTGATTGGGTGAGTTCAAATCAAAGAAAGTTTTTTGGTCTATCTTATTTTCTTTTTATTCATTTTTCTCTTCTATGAATAATAACATATTTATAATAATTAAATAATAAAAAAACTCAATTTATTAATAACTCAATCAAAATAAAATACAATTATCCTCAAGAACAAAATGTTTGTTATGCTTAATATATTTAGTTTGATCTGTCTTAATTCCGCTCTTTATTCAAGTAGTTTTTTCGTCGCCAAATTGCCCGAGGCCTACGCTTTTTTAAATCCAATCGTAGATGTTATGCCAGTAATACCCCTGTTTTTTTTTCTGTTAGCCTTTGTTTGGCAAGCTGCTGTAAGTTTTCGATGATATCTTTTGTCTAGACAAATTCATGATTTATTGAAAAAAAAACTCTAAGAATTGATAAGACCAGATAAGTCTTACACCCTCAATTCAAATATTGAAATTCTTGTACAACCGCGACAAATCTGGATCACCCCACTTCATTTCTTGGTGTAAAAATAAAAAAGGTAGGGTATGCGGTATAAAAACGGAGAATCTATTCTCTTTTTTACTAAAAAAATCTTGGAGATTATGTAATGCTTACTCTAAAACTATTTGTTTACACGGTAGTGATATTCTTTGTTTCTCTCTTTATCTTCGGATTCCTGTCTAATGATCCAGGACGTAATCCTGGACGTGAAGAATAAAAAATAAGGTTTTTGTTTTCCTTGCTTGATTTTTAAATGCTCTTAGTAGTATTTTTTTTATTACACATCTTTAACTATTAAAAAACAAAAATAACTCGCGAAAAATTCGAAAGAAAATATCGAGTCATCAACAAAAACGGAAAGAGAGGGATTCGAACCCTCGGTACGAAAAACTCGTACAACGGATTAGCAATCCGACGCTTTAGTCCACTCAGCCATCTCTCCTCCCCAATTGAAAAAAGATAATACTATGTTACATTATAAAAAATAAGGCTTAAAAAAACCCTTAATAATTTTTTTCATCCGATCCGAAGGGGCTTTTTAGTTTCCACGGCCCGGCTAAGTACTGACCAGGCCGGGCCCGCCCTTTTTGTTCCAACAAATCGTAAATAAACGGATTTATTTAATTTGAAAACTAAAATACTTGCTTGTTATTACGATTGGGAAAAATAAAAAAAAATTTCATTTCGATTTCTATGATTATCGAATCAAATGATATCGAATCAGAGTGTCATTTCTTATCTTAATTTTTTATATTTCTTATTTTATTTATATTCCTTTTATTTCAATTTCAATTAAAGTAAATATAAATAAATAAATAAGAAATAAAGGAACTGTGGATTCTTGCACAACCCATTTTCATGTATGTTATGGCTTAAGTAGTTTTGTCGAGACGTCTAGGTCAAAAACCTACGGCAAAAAACACTTGTTATTTAGTTATTTAAATTAAAAAATTCTCCTTTCCTCATCTCATTAAGTTCTCTGATACAACACGTAAACGCTCTAATTTTAATGATTATTTTATGATCCTATCTTTTCTTTTAACTTTGACTTTTTATTACGACCAATTTTATTGTTTTATTGTTCGACAAAAGGTTCATTTATATACAATAATCGGATTGTAGCGGGTATAGTTTAGTGGTAAAAGTGTGATTCGTTCTATAATCCCTTAATAGTTAAGGGGTCTTTCGGTTTGATTAATATTCCATTCCGATCAAAAACTTTATTTCTTAAAAGGATTTAATCCTTTACCTCTCAATGAAAAATTCGAGGAATAATATACATTCTCGTGATTTGTATCCAAGAATCAATGAAAAGTTGAAAAATTGGATTATGAGATTACGAAACATAATTTTTTTTATTGGATCAATACTTCTATTCTAAATGGATAAGTTCTAAATTTATAAGTATAAATAAAGGATCCATGGATAAAGATAGAGGGTGTATTTCTAATCGTAACTAAATCTTTAATTTAGAATTTGTATGTAGGTAAATTGAAGCAAAATAGCTATTAAACAATGACTTTGGTTTACTAGAGACATTGACAAATTGTTTTAGCTCGGTGGAAACAAAATGCTTTTCCTAAGGATTCTCTCAAATAGAAATAGAGAACGAAGTAACTAGAAAGATTTTATAATCCCCCTCTTTTCTATTAGGGATCGTCTAGAAAGCGGGTTGTTCTGAATACATTCAGACAGAAAAGCTGACATAGATGTTATGGGTGGAATTTTTTTTTTTTTATTTCGTCGTTAATCTGGGAATTTGTCCATCTTACATAAAGGACCGAGAATGAAACTCCCTATCGTCATGCTGGCTGTGCATCGTGTTTCCATTTGGGAAGTAGTACACGGGTCGAAAATGATGATCAGCCGTGCTCGTGACTATTACCCCTATCCTGGCCACCCTTATACGATGTCCTGGGGTTCGTGTACTATTTTCCCCTCGCGTAATCTCATTTCGACCTCCTTTTGTCTTTTCAGTCTCTCACTTTGTTATCTTTATAAATTATTTGTAAGCGAATTGGTATCGACATTAATGCTTTCCCATTTTTCGGTTTACATGCTACCTTTCGTCTTTTAGGCCATTGAACAACATGTTGATCTATCCCTTTATTCACCGAGGCATCTTCGAGTCTTTCGATTCTTTCCGTGGCCTTCACTTCTAATTCATTTACCAAATTTATTGTCTGTAACCCAATTAGAGCGGCCCCGGCTGTCGGCTATATTCAGGTTATGGCACACCTTGTACGTCGTCATCTTCTATAATCTATACATGTGCGTACACGAATGCCTTGCCACACTCCTCGGGTGTGGTTTTTCGGCCAGTGTCGTCCTTGTGGAGGATGCCCTGGGCTACCTGCGTCGCGCAGATCCTTACACGGTTACCCCCACGCGCGGGCAGTGACACTATTGAACGCGACCGGACCAGGTGGTGGGCGATAGACACAGAGCAAGTTGCCCCATGTGTAAAAATGATAGCCTATCAGACGCCTTCGACGGGTAAGGAAGGCTTAAATAAGTGGTGCTCGTGAACTCAGGTGACTTGGTTAAAGAAAGCAGAATAGTCCGAAGGTCACTTGGCGACCAAATCCCTTACGACGCGCGCAGAAAGGTAAACCCGTATTAACAACTTCTCGAACAAGTACGTCCGTGTGTGACGCCCCGGGATCCCTTACCTCGGAGATAATCCGCGCCTCGCGGTTCCATCCAATGGTAAGGTCCTGACAGACTGACCTGCTGCACGTCGGTATTGTCGCGTTCTCTGTTACGAGAGCTGTGGCTGGCGACGAAGATAGAAAAACGGCCAGCGGGGCCTGAATAGCGGCGGCAAAAGGCTGCCGCGCGGCGGGAAAGGGTCCTGGAAGGAGAGGACTGAACGGGAGGGGGAAGTGCGGGGGGAGGAAGTACGTAACTCAACAAGAAATTTCCTTACCTGTCCGATTTCTAATGAATCAAGATAACCGTTCGTTCCGGTATAAATAGTCAGTATCTGTTCTTCCACCGAAAGGGGAGATGATTGAGATTGTTTGAGCAACTCACGTAATCGTTGACCTCTTGCCAATTGATTCTGAGTAGCTTTATCGAGATCAGAAGCGAATTGTGCAAAGGCTTCTAATTCTGCAAATTGTGCCAATTCCAATTTTGATTTGCCAGCTACTTGTTTCATGGCTTTAATTTGAGCTGCGGATCCTACCCTGGAAACAGAAATACCCACATTAATGGCCGGTCTGATTCCAGCATTAAATAAATCGGCAGATAAGAATATTTGTCCATCTGTAATGGAAATTACATTAGTAGGAATATAAGCCGAAACATCTCCCGATTGGGTCTCAACTATTGGTAAAGCAGTCATACTTCCTTCACCTAAACGAGAACTTGATTTAGCGGCTCTTTCCAAAAGGCGTGAATGTAAATAAAAAACATCTCCCGGATAAGCTTCGCGGCCCGGCGGTCTTCGTAATAGAAGAGACATTTGGCGATAAGCCTGCGCTTGTTTGGAGGGATCGTCATAAATGATTGAAGTGTGTTGTTCACGATACATAAAATATTCAGCCAGAGCTGCTCCTGTATAAGGAGCAAGGTATTGTAATGTAGCAGGGGAGTCCGCCGTTTCAGCTACCACAATAGTGTATTCCATTGCTCCCCTTTCCTGTAAAGCAGTCACCACCTGAGCCACAGAAGATGCTTTTTGACCGATAGCTACATAAACGCATACTACATTTTGCCCTTGTTGATTGAGAATAGTATCTGTGGCTACTGCTGTTTTACCGGTCTGTCTGTCCCCAATAATTAATTCTCGCTGACCACGCCCTATAGGGATCATAGAATCAATAGCAATAAGTCCTGTTTGAAGAGGCTCGTATACGGAACGTCTCGAAATAATACCAGGAGCAGGAGATTCAATTAATCGAGATTCAGAAGATGAAATTTCGCCCCGACCATCAATAGGTTTAGCCAGTGCATTTATAACACGACCTAAAAAAGCCTCACTTACGGGTATCTGAGCAATTCTTCCTGTTGCTTTTACAGAACTCCCCTCTTGTATCATCAAACCGTCACCCATTAATACAACACCAACATTGTTTGATTCCAAATTCAGAGCAATGCCTATCGTACCCTCTTCAAATTCTACTAATTCACCTGCCATTACTTCATCAAGACCATAAATACGAGCAATGCCATCGCCTACTTGAAGTACAGTACCGGTATTTAAAACCTTTACTTCTCTATTATATTGCTCAATACGTTCGCGGATAATATTACTAATTTCATCTGCTCGAATGGTTACCATAAGTATTTCTTATTTTTTTTTTGAAGAAAAAAAATAATGCCTGCATTAGAAGGACTAATCCGTTATTTCTTTCACCGTTCCAAACATACCAATATTAGTACTTATGGTACGTAAATGTAACTCGTTGTTCAAACAACTATTCAGAGTTCCTAGAGCTCCTTGTAAGGCTTGCTGAAAAACCCGTTGTCTAACTTGATTAATCGCTCTTTGTTGTTCAAAATGAATGGTTTCATTTTTGTAATTTTCTAATTGTTCCAAAGTCTTATAGGTGGAATTAATCAAATTCAATTTTTCTCGTTCTATTTCAGAGTATCCATTCACTCGAAACTGATCCGCTTCCGTTTCTACTTTCCGTAAGCGGGCCCGGGCTTTTTCCAGTTGGTCTAGGGCCCCCTCGCGTAGTTCTTCTGAATTTCGAATAGTCTTCAAGATCCTCTGTTTTCGATTATCTAATAAATCACTTAATGAAAGTAGATTATCTTTCCATTCATTTCAAAACTTCCACGATCCCTTCCCGAACCAAACATGAATCTTTCGCTTCATTTGGCTCTCACGCTCAATTTTTTCAATTACTTATACTTATGGGAATTCCCATATTTTTTTTTAATGTAATGAGCCTATCCTCTCTTCTCTATTCATATTCGAAAATATCGAAACGGATCGCTAATCCAAGAACATAATATTCGGAGGACTCTTCTGACCAAACAAATAATTGTCAGCAAGGTTGTTTCTTTTTTTGTTTTTAATCCAAAGAATTCTTCTTACTTTATACATAGGCCATCGATTCAGCATTGGATAAAAAGATAAATAAAGTGGGGTGAAATACCCATTTTTCCGATTTTTTCCAATCAAATAACGGGTTCAAATAATTTTAGCGACATGAGTGTTTTATATCGAAAAAAAAAATTCCAACTATTTGTTTTGAACCCGCTTCCATATTAACTTATTAACTAACATAGTAGTAGAAAGAATACCATGCTGCATCTGAACTTCAAACGGTTTAGCTTTAACCCTGTTAATGGTTTACATTATTGGTTGAGAGAGAATCAAAGTAGATTTACCAATGAATCGCGAAATGCTATGGTTCTTAAATATATATATATTTTTTCAGAAGAAATTCGCGGAATCATGCACCTTTTTTTCCTAGTTATAACGAAAAAAATGCAGTTGGTTGGATCCAGCCTATTCTTGAAATAAACAACTCGCACACACTCCCTTTCCAAAAAAAATCAACACACCAAGCACTACGCTTAGATTTATTGGATTTGTTGCTAAAATATCGGTATTAAACCCGAAACTCCCGGCGGATGGCCAATAACCCAAGGAAAGGAAAGAATCGGTTACATTTTTCATATGATCTCCTCTTTCTTATAGTTATAGATAGACTAATTATTTATATTTTTTTGTATTATTTTTATTATTAATTTCCCTATTTCTAAATAGAGTCAAAAAATATATTGATTTATAAATGGATTTTTTTTTCAATTGGAAATTTCCAATAAGTGGAAATTTCCAATAAGAATGATACTTATTAGAGTTAGGTACCAGATCTTATGTCAGGTCAGTTACGAAATATCTCGTTTGTTGCAATACTTCCTAAAAAAGTTCTTCCATTGGACTAAGAAGGTAAAGGAAGAAAGCGAGTTGGAGTGTGAATTCCTCATCCTCAAATCAGCTCTTTCCGTGGGTTGTTGGCCCTAAGTAATTTAATTGTAGGAGTTAAATCTTACTATAATTCGAAAAAACAAGAGCAGCAAATCCAAGAAAATAAAATATATATTTTTGGATTAAACAAAGGGGTTCGCAAATAAAAGGGCTAATGCTACAACCAGTCCATAAATTGTTAAAGCTTCCATAAAAGCCAGACTAAGCAATAAAGTACCTCGTATTTTTCCCTCCGCCTCTGGTTGCCTCGCGATCCCTTCTACAGCCTGCCCCGCAGCAGTACCTTGACCAACCCCAGGTCCAATAGAAGCAAGCCCGACGGCCAACCCAGCAGCAATAACGGAAGCGGCAGAAATCAGTGGATTCATGTTAAGTTCCTCGCACCAAAACAAAAAAATAAAAAATAGTTTTTTTTTTTTTTTTTTTTTTTTTTTTTTTTTTTTTTTTTTTTTTTTTTTTTTTTTTTTTTTTTTTTTTTTTTTTTTTTTTTTTTTTTTTTTTTTTTTTTTTTTTTTTTTTTTTTTTTTTTTTTTTTTTTTTTTTTTTTTTTTTTTTTTTTTTTTTTTTTTTTTTTTTTTTTTTTTTTTTTTTTTTTTTTTTTTTTTTTTTTTTTTTTTTTTTTTTTTTTTTTTTTTTTTTTTTTTTTTTTTTTTTTTTTTTTTTTTTTTTTTTTTTTTTTTTTTTTTTTTTTTTTTTTTTTTTTTTTTTTTTTTTTTTTTTTTTTTTTTTTTTTTTTTTTTTTTTTTTTTTTTTTTTTTTTTTTTTTTTTTTTTTTTTTTTTTTTTTTTTTTTTTTTTTTTTTGGTTGGGCTACTTTCCTCTTTTGTGCTCACCCACATGTTTGGGCCTAAGAAATGGGCTTGGGTTCCGAGGCTCCCAAGTAACCCGGAACCTCCACTTCTTGGTCCATCAATGGGCCTCATGACAATTTATTACCATCCATACCACAACCCACTCAAGCAAGCCCCGGGTATTTGAGTGGCTTGGGGCCCACTTAAGCTTGTGGCGTGATTAGGTGCGGAATGATAATTCCTTGCTTAGCGTGGCGTGTCGTTTGGCGTGGCATGTGTGCAAGCGCATATGATGAACTTTCGCATGCCCAAATCGGGTTTCTTCTTGGTAAAGCATCGCATTGGGCCGAGAATTTATTTGGGCCGAACCGTGAATATTTTGGGCCTCAACATTAGCCCCCTTGATTATTGGGGCCATGAATGTGTATTGAAATGGTCCGAATAATCAATTTTCAGCCCAAAATAAATTACCGTGGCATGGCATGGCATGGGTTTAGGAGCAACTCAAGGATAACAGGTTAAGAGTCTCTGAAAATTACAGCCAGGTCTTTTCCGGGAAGGTTGGAGGGGTCACAATGGTCCCGCTTAAAACCCAATCCTTCTTAAACACCGAGGGTGTTGCCTTGAAGAACTTTCCTAGACACTGTAATTTTGGAGGTCACTTACTAGAGTTACCAAGAGTTGACCTTATTTTGTGGCATGATATAGAAGAAAATGCTTGGTGGATTAGCTCAAGATAACTACTTAGCTCGCATGATTTATTTGCTTGAGTGACTAGAGAGGCTTGATTTTGCATGATTGTGGTTTGCAAGAGTTGCATTGACTTGTGTATCTAATATTAGTTATGTATGCTTGATTTTGGCTTGCATGATTTGCTTTGACTTGTATATTTGGTATTTGGCTTGATGCTTAGCATTGGCATGTATGCTTGATTTTGGCTTGATACTTGGTATTGGCGTGTATGCTTGATTTTGGCTTGCATGCTTGGATGCTTGGTTTTGGCTAAGGTAGCATGGTTTAATATGGCTTTTGGGACATTTAGCATGGTGGATGTCATTTGACAGTAGCCGGACGTGCTAGTGGATAGTGGGGATCCAATCTTAGAGTTGCGGATGCAATAAGCTTGGATTCACCATTGTGTTTGATTTTACAGCACCAGCCTCCGAACACTTTGAATTTAGAGGACAAAACTTCAATGAAGGTGATATCGTGCGACATTATGGCTAGATATTGGAAGAATGCTTGAAATAGGGCATGTGCTGGAAGGATGTTTGAAATAGGGCATGTGCTGGAAGGATATTTGAAATATAACAAGTGCTGGAAGGATATTTGAAATGCTGGCAAGGTGTTTGAAATAGGGCATGTGCTGGAAGGATGTTTGAAAACATGGCAGGTGCTGGAAGGATATTTGAAACAGGACAGGTGCTGGAATGGGCCGAATAATTAAACCCGACCCAAAAAATCAGATTTGTATTTGTAGAGAACTTCTCTTCTTCCCGCGTGCAAAATGATGACGTGTCATAATTGGCCCCAGCGGTTATTTGCAGTTTCCTAATGCCAAACGCCTTCTTCCTTTCTTTTTTATTATTTTCTTTCTTTCTCTTCCCTTTTCTTGCACCAGATCCAACTTCTTCCTACTTTTCTTCTCTTCGTTTTCCCTTGTTCCCCCAGCTCAAAACTGAGTGAGAGAGTAAGATCAAGTGGAAAACATCTGCCTCCAGCCGCTGGGAAAAGAGCCCAAGTCGATTTCAACCCCTTCAGCCCTTCTCCCTTCGAAGAAGCCCTTCTGCCGTTGCTAGAAGGGACCTTTTTGTGCGGGTTTTCCTCTATGATTCTCAATTTCGCTCCCTTCTTGGTATATTCAAAGTCACCCGTTGGGATTTTAGCAAGGTATGTCCCTTCTCTAGCTTTCTCTTGGATTTATTGAGGAATTTGCTGGGTTCCCTTCATCCATGAATATTGCCCTTTGTTTTGGTTGTCAAGCATCAAACCCTCTTTTGACCTATTTTGTTATTGCAGCAACGTGAGTGCTTACAACGTGGGTGCTAGCAAGGAAGGGCTTGCACTAATCTTCTGGGATTCCCTTTTCTTTGATTTGCTCGAGTTGCTGGAAGGGTGCCAATTTCCGTGTGAACAAAACTGTTGGTATGGGTTTCTACCTTTTCCTCTTCTTACTTTAATCTTGCTCTGACCTCTTTTTTGTATATAAAAAGGCTGAACTTGGCATGATGTGCTTTATTTTCTGATTTTCTCTCATTCTCTTCTTTCTTCTTCTTCTTCAAGACCCAAACCCGTGGGTATTGTGCATCAGTACATAAGTCATATTTTACTGAACTATAGCCAGTAAAATTTGCAGAATCTTTTTGAAATTTTCTGATACCTCAAAGCTGGTTTGCAACTTCTGCATTCATCCATGGCTGGTGAGTTTTTGCAGATTTTTCTTCTGCATGTGTCTTTAACTTATGATACTCGTATGATTGCGCTTGCTTCACAAAATTTGCTTGAAATTATGTTGTCTATAACATATCCAAAATTGAGGATCATCCACCCATTCTAGTGCTCTCTACCTCCATTTTTCTAAAGCATGTTCATGAGTTGATGTTGATGCCTTTGTTGCATGCTTGTCTTCTATGCTTGAATGCTTGAGTTCCTCTGTATTTCCCAGAATTTGTGAACTAGAAATCGAATTCTAAGGTTGAGCTTTTGATTTAGGATTCTAGCTTGGTGATAAACAAGAGTTATACAAGCTCACTTGGGTATGCATGCCAAGTGTTTGTCAAAATATCTCAAAGTAGCTTGCTGGCTGCTTTTTGAACTTTTGAAATGTTTCTTTTCGAATCTGAGTTGGAGCTTTTGAGACATAAAAATGGACTTCTCAATGGTTATGTTGGAATTGGTCTTGCATCACTTGAAGAAAAAATAAATTTTCGGTGGAATTTCAAAGTAAGGGTTAAGGTGCTGGAGCTGTACAGTTTCTGCTGTGTGGGCTGTCTTAGAAATCTGTTTGACATGCTTCCCTAGCTCGAAATGCAACGAAATTTTGGGAAAATGAAGCTTGATATGTCTAGTTCTAATCTGGAAAGTCTGGGATTTGTTGGTTGTAAGCTTGATTTATAGTGATTTTCTAAAGGTGGGATATTCTAGCTAGGATGGTTGGAAAGCTTGTGTATAAGTTTTGCTTGGCATGTTGCTTTTGCTTGGGAATTTAGCATGTCCTTTCTGTTGGCATTGAGTGCTGATCTGAGTATTGCTAGAGCATGTTCTTGAGCAATATTGTCGTGAGAGCATGAAGTGGAATGGTATTGTCGCAAGAGCATGAGTTCTTCAATTTGCTTGAAATGCCCGAATTGCTTGGAATGCTTGAATGAAATGAAATTTCTTGGTATGTGAATTGGTATCACACCTTGTGAATTTTGTCAAATGCTTGATAGATGAGTTTGCTTGCACTTTGAGAAAATTATGCTTCCGGCACATCCGTTTGTGTATGAGTACCTTTCCGGCGTCTGATTTTGGCTAACATATTCTCTTGTTTTAAAAGCTCGAAAGCATGATAAAGCATGAGAAGTCTAATTTGATAGCATGAAAGTGAGTCTTGGTCTCTTGCAACTTGTCTTTGGAAAACATTATGCTTTAATAGCGATTCTACTTCCGGCACCCCCTTTCTGTTTACTAGTTCCCTTCCGGCACCTGATCTGGCCAACGTACTCCCTTGTTTCTTTTTCAGGCTTGATTGAGAGGTTCCAAAGCATGAGGAATGCCATCTTCTTACTGATTTGCTGGGATCTTGATAGAATAAAGGTGAGTTTTTCATCTTGACTTGCAATATGAAGGTTTATGAAAGATTCGAATTGCTTGACGGAGGGACTTGGGTGAGAAAGAGAACAAGCTAGTTCTTGAGGCCGTTTTGAGTTTTCTTCCAAAGATGTGATGAGTTTGTTGAACTGTTGCTGTGGGATAAATTTTACTAGCATGATGTTTGAAATAGGACAGGGCTAAGAAGATTTGAAATAGGGCAGCGCCAAAAATTCTTTGCTTGTAGAGTAGGTGTGGAAGAATGTAACTTGGCTTGTTTCAAAAAGGGGAAATAGAAAACTGTTTCTCACCATAATGCAAGATTATCTAGGCTTGTTGTAATCAAAGAGATGATTTATACTGTGTGGCAAAAAAGGTAGATGGGTTTGCTTGTTTGGATGGCACGGTGTCATTTCCTTGAATTTGCTTGGCATGAAGCCCTCAAGTCAGCTTGTTGAGGTCAGCAATTGGTTGAAGAGTTGGGTTATATTCTCTTTGGCTTACTCAGGGTCGAGAAACAAAGTAGAGGCCTGCTTGTAAATTTTTTTTTTTTTTTTTTTTTTTTTTGCAACTTGCTTCAAAGAAGATTTTGGAAGAAGTAGACTGAAGATGAGAAGGAAGAGGCTAAGCGAGTTGCTGGAAGAGATTCATACAGCTTGTTTTCCTCCAGATAAGTAACAAACAGTTTGCTTTCCTCCAAGAGGAAAATTGAAATTTACAACAGCTTCAGGATTCTTGTCTCTCTCTTTTGCTTGACATGAAGCCCCCAAGTCATTTGGAGTTTGCATGTGCTGTTTGCTATGATGGATTCTCTTAAGCCCCCATAAGCCTTTCGCAAGATGTTTTGTCTGAAAAGCTTTAAATTTTGCTGTAGTGCAATTGCATGAATAAAGCTTGTGATTTTTCAGGAGTTGTCGTATGGCCATGAGAAGAAGTTCTTGCAAGTATTAGTTGCCGAAGTATCCATCTTCAGAAAGACCAATTCTTAAGTATGCCTGAAAATAATGATGGTGCCAAAGTCTGCGCAGAAAAACATGGGGATAATTGCAATGATGGGTCAGCTGGTTGCATAAATAATGAGATCAACAATGGTGATGAAGGAGATGGTAACGTGAAATAGAAGATACGATATTCTTTTAGCACCAACTACCCTTCTCCCGACACCTACTGCCCTTCTTCCAGCACCAACCTCCCTTCTTTCTTGGTGCATTTGAGGTCGTCCTTTGAGGTGATTGACAAGGTATGCCCTTTCCTTTTTGCAATTTCTTGAACCTATCGAGGGGCTTGTTGGGCTCTTCATGCCCATGGGCTTTGCTCGTTCACTGGAATCTCAGGTCCTTCTTTTTAACTCTGTAGGAATAGATATAGACTGATATCTTGGCCTAGGCTTGTTTTTCGCATGCTTGAATAAATTTGGACTTTTCTCCCATGTTGTGGAAATAGAAATTGATAGAGTGCATGCTCTGCAATGCTTGAATCCTTTTGCATTTTGAGGAAGAATTTGCTTGTCATGGGAATTGCTTGAAAATTTCGCTTGCCATGGATAAATTGTATGCTGCTTGGGTATTTGCTTAAGTGTTTCCTTTGGCCTGAGCTTGACTTGCCCTGCTTGGCGTATATTTTGCGTGTGCTGCGTTCTTGACCCGCTTTTTTGTTGTTGAACTATATGCATCACGAGCGCATGCTTGTAATCGTATGATTAATGCATAGGATTAGAGGCTATTGAAAGCTTTGAGAAAAGCACCATTGGTTTCTTTTTTTTTCTTTATGAGCTTAGAATTTGGTCATGGATAACTGTTTATTTTTTTGGCTTTATAGGGATAGACATAAACATGTGTATGATGGGTCTGCAAGGATGTGTAACTCGTAGGTATTTCGTTTTTGTGAAAAAGGTTACTATGAGGTAAATAGTGCTCAGTTTGTAGCACTTGCTTTGTGAAAAAGGGTCTGCTGGAATGATTGATTGAGCATGGAATGGGAAATTTGCTCATCATGAGCTCGAGTAATAGATTGCATGATGCTTCAAAAATATATATTTTTTGTTTATGCATTTCGCTTGGCATGAGATAGCTTGCTTTGCTTGGCTTGTAAAGTTCATAGGGCTTGCATGCTAGTGTGGAGATTGCTTGGCTTTAACACAGAGAACTAGCTTTATGCTTTGCCGTTTTTTCAGCGTATTCTTTGTTGGCAATTCTTGCAGGGATTCATCGCTTGTCAAGACCTGCCATGGCATTCACTAACCCGTTGTCAATTATTAGTGGCCACCTTTATTCAACGGATGATAAATTGAAGAGGGGAAGGCCCCCTCCATTTCTCAAGAATGCTTGTGAAGATGTTGCAGTAGGCGAAGAGCCAGTGTCGTCTTGCTGCGTTTGTATCATTATGGTTCGGGAAATTCCTCCTCTGTGACTTTTCCCAAGATTGTCTGCATGCGCAGGTGTTCCCCTTGGCTTTAGCAATAGCGCATGGCGGCATGATTCCCATAGCCCCTATGTTCTTGGGACATCCGATGCAGGGGTAGACAATGCCCTGCTCCTTCTAGCAGTGCTGCCTCATACTCATCCTTTTCTCGGAACATCCAACATAGCTGCCGGCACTGCCCTGCACCTTCCAGCAATGCTGCCTCCTACTCATTCTCTTCTCAGAACATGCGACATAGCTGCCGGCGCTGCCTTGCATCTTCCAGCGTGCTGCCTTCTACTTCTCCTCTTCTCGGAACATCCAACATAGTTGCCGGCACTGCCCTGCACCTTCCAGCATTGCTGCCTCCTACTCATCCTCTTCTCAGAACATGCGACATAGCTGCCGGCGCTGCCTTGCATCTTCCAGCGTGCTGCCTTCTACTTCTCCTCTTCTCGGAACATCCAACATAGTTGCCAGCACTGCCCTGCACCTTCCGGCAGTGCTGCCTCCTACTCATCCTCTTCTCAGAACATGCGACATAACTGCCGGCGCTGCCTTGCATCTTCCAGCGTGCTGCCTCCTTTTATTTTGCAGGTTGTTTTCTTTGGCTTGGGGTCAATTGGCTCGGTGCACAGCGTCCATCTTTCTTGATACCATAGGATGTACTAATCTCGAGCATGTGTAACCTTGTTTTTGCGATCTAACGACTATGTCATTATGACTTTGTAATGTACTACTGAACCACTGGAACTTGCATTAATTTATGAATGCTTGAGGCATGTTGTAATTCGTACATCTTATATATATATATATATATTGCTTGGTTGGGAGAACTTGCTCTTGTGAACTTCTTGAAATTTTCGGACGAGTTGGCAAGCCTTAAAAACAAGGTATATGCTGCCCAAAATTTTGACAGGACCTTTAAGCTAAATCTTCGATGCATTGCTCTTTAAAACTTTTGCAAGGCTCGTCTACTCATTTGGCCTAAAATGCACCCTCTTTCCGTGCCTTAAAAAGGGTCAGGCCACTGTATGCATGATTTCCACGAAGGCTCCTGTAAGAATTGCCGGATGTTGTGAAGTTTTTTGAGCATTCCGATTGGGAGTCAACGGTTTTCGTTATTCCAGCGCCTCAAAATACACTTTTACTGCTCGTTTCTTTGTAATAGCTTGACTTTGCATACCCCACATCGTTTTGCTTTGGCTTGATGCTTGTTTCAGTTCGGGACCCCATCTAAGTGGCTTTGCTTGGTATAGTTACTGCTGAGAGGCTTAGCCTTTTAATGAAAAGTTTGTTTGTCTTTTTTTTTTAAAGAACATGTTTTGTAAAACAGAATAAGGTAAAAGCAAGGAAGAATTCTAGAGGCTTTTTTCCTCTTCCAAAATACTCCATTCTCATTGCAAATATCGTCTTACACCTCGGCATGCTATAATGGTGGTGCATTTTAAAAAAGTTGTGAAAGCATAGGGTGAAAATACATAAGGAGTTCATTTTTGAAATAAATTTGAAAAGCCAAAAACAAAATGATAGGTGCAAAAGCAATTCAGCAATAATAAGACCTTAAGCCACTTTGCATTGATGAATACTCCAATCAAATCAAGCCCCCCAAATATGAAAGGGCCCAAGGTTGTGCATGACTTGCAATAGCATGAAAGCTTGTGGCTTAGGTTGGTATGTATTTGGCATGTGTTGTACTAGGATGCCATGCTCTGTAGAGATATTTAACAGAGCCACAGTTGCTGCTTTGCTTGCCTGCAGCTCATAACCCAACTAATCAAAGAGTGATTTGCAGCTCCTAACCCATTGTACTTTCTTCAACCTCTGTGAAGTTATGAGAGGTTACAACAGCTGCTTCTTGATAATCTTGATGACCAAATGAAGCCTCCGAGTGGCTTTCTTCCAGCATGTCCAATGTGAATACTTCGCTGCTGGAACCATTCTCCCATCAATTAGCAAGTAGCCATGGGGTGTTATAGCTTGCAAATTTTGAATATTTGCTCCAGTTGGCCTTCTTCATATTTCCACAAGGTTCCCACATAGCCTCGGTGGCTTTGGGTCATTCTTCCACAGGTGGCACAATACGTCGTCGTCGAGCAAGTCATCAAAGCACGTAATGACAGTAGCCATCTACTTTCCCCTTCGTTTTGGCAAGGGGTCCTTGTCAATAGCTTGCCTCTTAGAGTTTTGTCATGTATCTCGGCGTGTAAGATCTTCCTTAGAGTATGGCAAGCAGTGGTGGATGTTGCAGGTGAAGAATGGATGAATATAGGAAAATACGCTTCCAGCACCCCTTTTCTTGAAAGCTTGACATCGCTTCAAAAATTCTAATTGCTTGGTAAAATAAACTTCATCTTGACAGCATTTAGGTTCTTCCAGCAGTATCATAGCACTACCTTCACAATATTTTCCTTTCATTTGCCATGAATTGAGATGTTTTCCTTCTTGAGTAAAGCATAGTGCTTGGATTTCTTGACTAAGGCTCGGGGCTTGATGATGCTTGATTATGGAATTGTGGCAATTGAGACATCCCGATAGCCTTTTGGTTTTGACTCCTAAACTTGGTCATTGGAATGGTCAAGGCTTAGAAAGTGCTTGAGGTGTTGGAGCATATCAGTTATGGCAACTTAGGTATTGTTTGTTGCAGCTGTTGTGAACATGTTTTAGGAACCAAAAGCTTGGACTTGGCTATTGAAGCTTGAGCTTTGTATGTGGTCACTGCAGCAAATGTGTTGGGTTACAACAACAAGTGATGGCGAACTTGGAGATCATAGTAACA